TGGCTAAATTTAAAAAGTTAGCTGCTTTTCAACAGGAACACCAAGACAAGCGAAGGAGGGAAAGTAGTCTTTTCATCCAATGGTGCTGGGAAAATTGCACCATTTGCCACAAGCACATGCACAAGAATGAAATTGGTCCCCTACCTCATATCTACAAAAATGAATTCAAAATGGGTCAAAGACCTAAATGTATGAGCTAAAATAAAAAACTCGTAGAAGTAAATATAGGTGTGAATCTTCGTGACCTGTTATGTCTCAGAAAACCCATAGCAAGCCCCCCCGCCCAGTCTGTGGCCCCAGTTTTAAAATCCCACAGTATTGGGGCACCTGCCTGGCTCAGTCAGAGGAGCACTGACTCTTGATCTCCTGGTCATGAGTTCGAGCCCCACATTCAGTGCAGAGATTACTAAAAAATAAATAAATAAATAAATAAAGTATTAAGCTCCTTTGAAGGTTTTTTTTTTCTGAAAAATAATTTTTATAATAATATTGGGTTCAGGTATACAACATGATGACTCAGTGTTTGTATATTTTATGAAATGATTACCCCAGTAAGTCTAGTCATAGAACATAGCCAAAGAATTGTTTCTTGTGATGAGTTACTCTCTTAACAACATCCCAATAAATGATACAGTATACAGTATATATAGTATTAACTGTACTTTATAGCTTCATGATTTATTTATTTTATAACTGGAAGTTTGTACTTTTGATCCCCTTCACTGATTTCACACCCCCCACACCAATCCATTCTCTGTATCTATGAGCTTTTGTTTCCTTGTTAATTTCCACATGTAAGACATTGCCAAGTGTTTGCCTGATCTATTCCATGTAGTATGTGAAAGGTTGACTCATGCTGTTGCAAATAGCAAGAATTCATTCTTTATTGTGGATGAATAATATTGCATTATATCTTGGTACTACATTTTTTTTACCCATTCATCTGTCCACGGACACTTGGGTTGTTTCCTGTTATAAAATAATGCTGCAGTGAACATGGAGATGCCAGTCTTTTTTCAAATTAGCGCTTTGTCTTTGATGAAATACCCAGAAGTGGAATTACTGGATCATACGGTAGCAGAAATTCTGAGAAGTTTTGTTTTTTGTTTTGTTTTTTTTTTGTTTTTTGTTTTTTAAATTTATTTGGAGAAAGAGCACGTGTGAACAGGGGAGGGGCAGAGGAGAAGGAGAGAGAATTTCAAGCAGATTCCAAGCTAAGCACAGAGCCCAACATGGGGCTCAATCTTAGGACCCTGAGATCACGACCTGAGTTGGAACCAAGAGTCGGACGCTCAACCAAAGGAGCCACCCAGGTGACCCAGAACCTTTGAGAGTTTTGAAAGGTTTCTGTGTGTTCACCCAGCTACAGGAAAACAAGATAGACATGACCCGATTTTGCATCACCTATGAACACCTCACCAGTTCGGGTTTTCTTCGCCACACTTGTGGGGACACACCTTTATCAAAGGGGGCATGTCAGTGTTGGAGTATCAAGCTCATCAGACACCTGGAGCCGTGGTGAGGGGTAGTGCCCACCCTTCAGTTACTTGCCCAGTGGTGCTAGGAGTGGTGCAGGTTGCAATTAAGGAAAGCAGAATCAGAGAGGGGTGGTGGCCTGCCGAGGTCACACGTGAGTCATGGGTCCAATCACCCCTTCTCTGCAGGCACCCAGTCGCCCGTGTCTCGCACTACTGCCGAACGCCCCCTATGTGGCAGGCTCTGGGGAAGGCACTGGGGACACAATGCTGACACATGCAAAGTCCCCGTCATCATGGCATTTGAGACTGGCAAAGAAGCAAAATAATGGTAGGTCTTAACAGAGGGGTCAGGGAGGGTCACGCCAAGGAGGGACAACCGAGCCATAGAATGAGAAAGAACCAGTTGTGGAAAGAACCAAGAGAGGGCTGCTGCTGGCTGAAGGGACCGCGAGGACAGGGCACCAGGCAGGCTGAGGTCAAGACAGCAGCCCGGGCAGTCTGGCGTGTGGTAATGCTGGGCGTGGCACAGGGCGAGGTCAGGAAGTGAGCAAGTGGCAAGTCAGGAGGCCTCCAGAGGGAGTCTGGACTTAACTCTGCCTGTGGGAGGAAGTCACTGAAAAGGTCCAACTTGTCTGAATTCTGGAAGAGACACCCAGACTCTGAGATGCCAGCATTTTCCTGTGGTGCCCTTTCCTCAGGCTTCGGTGTCAGCCCGACAGTGGGGGGACACCCCGTCTTTGCCCCCATGTTAACAGGGCCTCGCCTGCCCTTCTCTACTGCACACAGCTCTGTGTGGCCCAGGGGAGCCAACAGCCAGCCGGGGGCCAACCGTGACCACCCTGGGCCAGCTCAGTCCTTCCCACACCAGCCAGACACCCCTGCGTGTTCGGGGGTTTCCGGAGAACACCTCCTGTGCCCAGAAGAGGAAGCAGCAGCTTCCACACACCCCTCCCCCACATCGGCTGGCTGCTGGGTGAGAGGCTCGAAGACTCCAGGCCCAGGCAGATGGGAGAAGGATACAGAGCCGGCATCCCCCAGCCATGCCTGGCCCTCTTTGGGGTGGTGGGGGGCAGAGGTGAGTGAGGTACGGCCCCTCACCGGCCCGCCAGCCAGAGGCACACAGTTCAGGCTACTCCCCTCGAGCGCCCCACACCCTGACATACATGGATACCCTTTCCATAGTGACAGCACTGCCCAGCCGTGGGACCTGGTGGCCATTTCAATAAACAAGGCCGGTAAACATGGAGGGAAAGCACAGGGACTCCTACCTCACGCCATACATGAACAACTACTCTATGGGCATTAGAGAACCCCAAATGAGAAAGGCACACTGGAAAGGTGTTGAGAGCATCAGAAGGGGCCAACACCTTCTTCCGTGGTTGCTAAGGACCAGAAGTGTTTGAAGTGCCTTCTGCATCCCAACTCTGCTTAAACCTCCCAGTGGCTTGCCAAGGTGTTGCAGAATCAACGAGAAAGAACAATGGAAGAGAAATCTCTCCACGGTTTTAAGGTACCACATGCCCTGTGAAAGCCAAGACTGATAAGGTTGAATACTTTCAAGGTGGCAACTTGCGTTCATCCAAAGACCATATTTAGAGAGTTAGAGAGTACAGTGCAAGCCACAGGATGAGACAGAATACTGAAAACCATGTAGATCCAAAGGAACGCATGAAAAACACCTACAAACCATGAAGAAAAGAAGCCATGAGCAACTGGGCGGACTCAGTCCGGGAAGCATCTGTCCATCTCTTGATTTCAGCTCAGGTCATGGTCTCAGGGTCGCGAGATCGAGTCTCGAGTTGGGCTCTGCACTGAGCATGGAGTCCGCTGCTGGAGATTCTCTCTCTCTCTCCCTCTGCCCCGGCCCCCTAAATTAATTCATTAATTCGCTCTTCTTTTAAAATGAGCAATGGAACAGAGGATAGAAGGATAGAAACTAAGCCCACGAAAAGATGCTCCATGTCACTCCTCATTAGAGAAAGGCAACTTAAAATCATAATGAGACGCCACTACACGCCCACTAGAAGGACTACAATAAAAAAAAAATACTGACCGCATCCAGTGTAGGGGGGCGTCGCAGAGCACCTAAAAGTCACAGGCGCTGGGGTGGTGCCTGGGAACACCAAGACCACAGCCACGGGGAGGGGGGGGCGGGGGGTGGGGGGCGGGCAGCGTTTGCTGTAATCCAGCAGAGTCCAAAGCTATTCAGCGGTTCATAATCTAAGACCCAGGTTTCACCTTCAGAAGCATGGGCGCTTGGATAAACATGGAAGATTATCCCCAGCAGCACTGATCACAGTGGCCCAAACCAGAAATAACCCAAATGTGCATTCACAGACCAAAAAAAAAAAAAAAAAAAAAAAAAAAACATAAGGTGAAATAATGATGTATTCAAATAATGTAGCAACACAACAACAAAAATGAAAAAACTCCAGCCACACACACACACACAAGTGGATGCGTCTTATGCACAGAAATGTTGAACGAAGGAAACAAGACACCAAAGCTACAAACTCTATGCGTGGCTCAATTTATATAAAATTCCAAGGTAGGTACAATTAAGCTCTATTGTTTCGGGGTCTGTTCATAGGTTGTCATTTACAAAGAAAAGCAAAGAAGGGACCCCAGTTAGAATTCTGAGTGGGACTGCCTCTAATGGGGAAGGAGGGGATCCTAGCTCAGAAGAAATACATGGTGGCCCTCTTGGCAAGGCTCGTTTTTTTGTTTTGTTTTGTTTTGTCCCAGTCTCCTACCCTCAAGGTCACAAATACTCGTGGCTGTGAATCATATCACAGCCCAGAGCTCGGACTTCCCCAGTACTTTCTGTTGGGAGAGTTGAATGCAGTTTTGCCCAGAGAAAGGCACCAAGTGGAACTGTGAGTTTACCCCAATTCCCTTCCCTACCAGGCACTGGCTCTGATCCCTGCAGCTCTGTGATCCAAACCTCTGTTTCTGCACTTGTCAGTGGAGCATGAAGACTCCCATCAGGCCTAGCTCGCAGGGGAGGATAATGAATATTAAAGCGGGATAGGGGATGCTGCTGGAATGCCAGAGACTATCTGAGACTCTGAGGGACAGCCAAGCTCATTGCAAGGCTGTGTGAGGCCCATCTAGATCCCTCAGAACTGGATCCCTCGGGGCTGGCCCTGCCTTGCCCCGTCCTGCCCCACCCCTGCCCTGTGAGGCCACCTGTCAGTGGGGTTCATATACTGTCTGTCATCAGCCAATGGGCTGGGGCACCAAGAGCGGGTCACATAGCCTATTTCCTGTTTTCAAACGGGGAACTTAAAAGTAGCAGCTCGCTGGAGCCTGGAACCGAGGGGGGCTGAAGGCGGCCATGTGACACTCCCCCCGGACCCCTGGACCCACACAGAACCAGAGAGGCTTCAGGTCAGTGTTTGATCCCAACCTCAGTGGGGCTCTGCCCTCCCTGTGGTCTGAGCCCCCTCCCCCTGTGGCCCTCCTTCAGTACCTGTTGGGGGCAGGGCGGGGTAGGGAAGGGTTGGTGACAGCCGCTCTGTGTGGGGCTCTCCTTAGCTCATTGGGTTAGAGCAGGAGGCAGTTCCCCGAACTTCCATCACCTCGATTCTTTTGAGCTACTTCTATGACCCCTCTTGAGGCAGGGGAATAAGTCACCACACCTGCATTTCTCAAAACGTGGTGCCAGGGAACCCCCGTGTCAGCATAGCCTCTGGCCATTTGTGCAAAATGCAGAATCCGGGGCCCATTCCCAGACCTGCCGGGTGGGACTCTCCTATGTCAAGAGCCAGGGAACCTGCTTGTTATAAGCTCCCAGCACCTGGGAGAGTTCCAAATGTGAGTGTGCCCCCCCGTGTCCGGGATCCCTCACTCTGATGGAAAGTCCTCTGCAGCCCCCTCAGGAAGGTAGCATGGGCTCTCAAGGTGGCCCGGTATAGCCATCAGAAGAAGGCCTGGCCATGGCAGGCAGCCCTCAGAGGGAGGAGAGGCCTGGGAGGGAAGGAGCAGAATGTCTACACACACAGCTGGATGGGGAGGGGGCTGGGAAGCTTCTCTGTCTCCTGGGCCAAGCACAGGACCCCTACCCAACTCCAACATTTGTAGGATTTTCTAGTCAAATCTAGAAATCTAGAAATCTTTGCTATACAGAGTATGGACAGAGGAGAGAAGTACCCACAAAGCCCCATGTGTGGTTGTCCCCAAAGAGCTTTTGGAGTGACAGGCTGTTTTCCCCATTTCACAGATGAGGAGACTGAGGCCTAGAGAGGAAGGGGAAGATGACCAAGACTCTGTGCATGCACCAATGAATGAATACCTTTCTCCTTTTCACTCCCCTCATGGTGACTCCCAGACAACCCTATAAGAGAAAACACAAGTGAAGTGGCTTTGACTGCTGAATTTGATTTTTATTCAAAGCCCTGGGTTCGTGCTCAGCTTTTCCAGGTCTTGACTGGTGCGTTCAGCCAAGGCCATGATTCCTGGGGTCTCACAGGGTCTCTGGGAAAACTGTGCCCTTCTTCTGACCTGGCACCAGCTGCCTGAACAGGACAGCAGAGCTGGAAGGGCTGGGACAACTGAGGCTCACCATCACCCATTCTACAGATGAGCCAACTGAGGAGTTAGGAGTGCCCACAGGAAGCATTGGGTTTCCAAGAACCTAGGCCACCCAGAGTCCATTAGGTAATAGAGCATGAAGACCACTCACTACCCCACCTGGACACCCATCAGGCTCTAGAGAACGCGTCCCCCACCCTCCATGTCTAGTCAGCAAGACGGAGCCTGCAGCCACACTTCTCAGGTGGGGACACTGAGGGCTGGAGATACTAAGTAACTTTCATACAGACCCACAGCTGGTCAGGATGGAAGTCCTGACCCCGTAAGGGGAGAAGCAGCAAATGAGGCATGCAGGCCCTAGTGGCTCAAGTGTGTGCAGCCCTGGGCCAGCCATGCCCTTGCTCTGTGCCTCAGTTTCCCATCCATAGAAAGTAAGTTGGAGGAAGGGTCCTGGAGAGACATGCACTGGGCAACAGCACAGAACCACCTGGAGAGTGGCCCAGGGTTCCTTTCACCTGAGCAAGCAATAGCTGTCCCCCGAAGGAGGAACCCTGGCCCCAGCTGACCTCAGCTCTCCCCAAGCCAGGCCTGTCCAGGGGGCGCCACAGCCATGGAGCTGGGATGGGCTCGGTCATGCCCAGGGACAGAGCTGGGACTCCATTACAGCAGCAGGAGTCCCACCCCTCAAGGCTATAGTCAGCAGAAGGGTCAAGACATGCGGCGGATTCAGACACGGATCCAGGAATAGGGCAGAGCGGGCCAACCAGAGTTTGTGTCCCAGCTCTGCCTCATGTGCTCCTTAGAGCTCCCTCAAATCTCACCCTTCTGATTTTGGATTTTTTTTTTTTTAAGACTTTATTTATTTGACACAGAAGGAGAGCGAGCACAAGCAGGGGTAGTGGCAGGCAGAAGGAAAAGGAGAAGCAGGCTCCCCACCGAGCAGGGAGCCCGATGTGGGACTCGATCCCAGGATCCTGGGATCATGACCTGACCTGAAGGCAGACACTTAACTGGCTGAGCCACCCAGGTGCCCTGATTTTGGATTTTTCTGCCAAAGGGCTGCCCCAGCTCCTGACTCCATCCAAGCTAATCTTTTCATCATCCTATTTCTAATTTGTCTCAGACGTGTTAAATTCTATTCCAATTTATACCTTAGTGGAGAGTCACTGATCTTCAAATATTTCTGCAAGGACTATTATGTCTCCCATATCAATAGCAGGGACCATTTATGATACAGCATCTGGTTTGTGCGGAGCCCGAGCATGGTCTCCCCAGCTTAACCCTCACACCAGCTTCATGAAGGCAGGCTCCATTCTTAGACCCATTTTATGGGAAACTGAGGCACAGAGAATTGCTGGCACCTGGTCCTCTCCATTCACGGGTCTGGTTTGCAGACAGAGTTACAGCATAATCTAGCTCCCTCCCCCCACTCCAGCTGGCTGCGCTCCCCCTGGCCCCGAGGAGGGTACCACATACGTCCTGAGCATCACCTACGAGCCTTCGGATCGTAGGCAGCTCCAAGTCCTGGTTCCTTTATCAAAAGATGGAGGTAAAACTCCTCCTGCACACAGACTTGGTTAATTGAGCGAGTGGGTGTTGAGGGCAGAGCGTGCGCACTGACACGTCACAGACTTTCAGCTTTGCTCGTGGGTCGGGCTCATCAGCCGCATCACCTTGGGCTAAACCTCAGTTTCCTCTTCTGTGATTGGGATTCACAGAAGATTTTTGTGGGTGTGAACTAAGGGGGTGTGAAGCACTTAGGTGCCTACGAAGTGTGTTCCACAAACTGTCAGTAAGTGTTTTCTTAAAGAGGGAGAGAGAGAAGGGAAGGATATGTCCCTGGACCCTCACTTGGGGCACTGAGATTTTATTTACACACGGGACATAAATGGGATATTGGGATGTTCTTCAGGATAGGCTGGCATCTTTCTCCCAAGTAATCCCTAAAGCCACTACCTTGGCTTGAAATCACCGCACTTAAGATTCAGAGAACTTGATCATAGAAGCATGGCAACAATAACAGAAGGCCTTGGACCAATCAGTCCAGCAAAGGGGCAGTAGACCCAAGCCTCGCATGTGGCAGCTGGGCAGACAGCTAGGTGGGGAGGGGAGGGCTCAGCCATGAGGACTATGACACAGATCCTAGCACCCCAGGACCCTCCAGGAACCCCAACGTCAGCGGGAACTCACTGTTGTCTTTTGTCCCTCTGGCAGCCTTGGAGCATGGCCAGTCCCGAGCACCCCGGGAGCCCTGGATGGACAGGACCCACAGCCAAGTGCACAGCAGGGACCAGGCAGGAAGCATCAGCCACAGGCCGAGACCTCCCGTGTCCAGGACCCGAAGGGCACTTAGGTGGGCTTGGAGTGTGGTCAGAGATAGAGATTGGAAGACACTCAAAATATAAATATTGGGTCCTTCAACGGGGGCCACGGGAGAGAGAGCAGCTTTCTCAACTTGGCACAAGTATTTGATGTCCGTTGTTCTTCTGGGAGATGGTCCCAGGAATCATAGCAGGGGAGGGGTACATTGAGGAAAGGAGCGAAGAAAGAAAGGGCAGGAAGCCAGTATCAAGGGTTGACGACTGCTTTGGGCAACTGGGCTCGGTCCCAGCAAGGGTCCTCCGCAAACCCTATAGAACATATCTCAGACTTGTCCCATTCAGGAGGCAAGGAGGCCAGGCTACTACTCACCAGCCCTCCAGTCCCATCCTTCATCCGCCAAGAGCAGCTCCAGAGCAGCGTGATTTAGCTCAAGAAAGACCCAGCATGAGAGCCCTAGGTGCGTTCAGTAGGAAGCCAGTGGGGCCAGTGGGGACATTTCTGAGCAGTGAGTGCCAAGCAGCACTGCCCAGCGCTGACAGTGTCCACCAGAGCGCCATTTCCTGGAGCAAATGTATTTACTCATTCAGGCAGTTGTTCAATACTTCCCTATGAAACGTCTGCTCTGTCCTTAGCCCCGCGGGGGTGGGGTGGGGGAACCAGCCCAACACTGCTGGCCCTCAAGTTTGGTGGGGAAACAGATCTGTGAAAAATAATTCAAGATGTCACCCAAAAGGTTGTAGGGACAAGGTGGGAGGCTCTAACTCTAATGCCAGGGGACAGTAGAAGTGACCTATGGCCTGGATCTGGAAGGACACCAGTGGAGAAGCCCCACCCCCCCACCCCCCACCCAAGTCTCCATATCTCTTGAAATCACATGCACAATGATCAGTGCATTTCGGTGGGGAAGGATTTTCATCTTTCCCGAGATGATCACAATGGCTCAGGGTGCATGTGAGCTCTAAGAGACACGGTGAGTTTTCCAGGTAGGGAGATAGGAGGGTGGCATTTAAGGCATAAGGAGTAGCACGTGCAAGCAAAAGCAGGAAATGTGGAAAAGGAGATGAGAGAGCGGGGAGGGGCCCACCAGGCGGAGCCAGGAGCCCCGCATTCTCAGTAGCTCCCTCCTCTGGTAGCTGATGCGTGTGCTCACTTCCCCAACCCCCACTACTGTGTCAGTGCCCTAGGGAGTACAGAAAGGAACAAGCCACCATCCCTGCTTTTCAGGAGCATGGGTCTCACAGTGGCTGATCTGCAGGCCGAAAGTGGATGGTGCAACACACGCGTCTGCGTGTCGCAATGGAGAAACCAGCTGGGGAACGCGGGGCTATTTCAGGTTGCCGGCGGTGGGATGGCTGCAGCCGGGTTTGCGGGAACCAGAGTCTGGGTGGGCAGGGCCGGGGAGGAGGCGAGGCACAGCGCTTCCAGATTCGGACTTCCCATCCCCGACAGACCCAGCCATGTCCCCAGACCCTTGTCCCCAAAGCGCCCCGACCTGGTGCAAGGGCTGACTGGTGCCGTCCCTCCAGACGCTCCGGGCAGCCCCAGCCCCAACTCCAGCATGACCACCGGGGAGCTGCAGGAGTACTGGCGGAAGGAGAAACGCTGTTGGAGGCGCGTCAAGCTGCTCTTCGAGGTCGCGTCCGCCCGCATCGAGGAGAGAAAAGTCTCCAAGTTTGTGGTAAGCTGAGATAGGGCAGGGAGGGCGAGCCTTTCATCACTTCCTTCCAGGCCCTGGGCCTCAACTTGCCCCACTGTGAAATGGGCCGGTGCAGTCTGACCAACAGAGTTCTAAGGGAGACAACGGTCAAAAAGCAAGATTGCGCGCGCGCTGGGTATGGTGTTAAGCACTGTGAGAACTGGAGAGCAGTGAGTCACAATCGCCGATCCCGAGAAGGAACTAGCCCAGATTTATTCCATGTCAGCCAGAACCAGCCATCTGTGTCCTTTCAACAGTTTTTGATATCCCCAATCATTAATTATATATTGCATAAAATGATAGGTAATAACAATTAACCTCTTTTTCTATAAATCAGATCGCTTTCTAAAAACACGAAGTCAGTATTTTCCAAAGGGAAATCAGTATCACGTAGCACAAAGAAAAGGTAATCCTGAAAGTAAATCCAAGGAAAGCTAAGTGCTGTCATTAGATTCTAGCTGGTTGTACCAGGGCTGGCCGCAACCTCTGGGCTTGGGGGCGCCGCTCTCTGTTAAAATGGGATTTGAGCCTGCGGTGGGGGCGGTGTTCAGGTCCAAGTAGGAGCCAGGCTCAACCTTCGTTCCCCACCTGGTCCCTTAACTGGGACCAGAATGCCAACAGTGGATGCTAAAGTGCTGACTGCAGGTTGAACCCAGTCCCCCATGGGTGCCCAGTGTTAACCCATTCCATCCTCACCCAGCGAGGGAAGTGCCATGACTACCCTCTCATTTCATGGATGGGCACACTGAGGCCCGCGGTGATGCAATTATCCGCCTAAGATCGCACAGCTAGAACGCAGCAGGGCTGGAATTATAACCCAAGGAACCCGAGCCCTTCATCAGGATTCTCTAACTGAAAGAGACCTGAAAATCAATCATTTTCTTACCATAGAACTTCACTGCCCACCTACGGCCCCAAACCATCTCTCACGGGTTGTTCGCTGGGGAAACACAGCTCAAACCCAAGCTCCCTGAGTCAGGAACCCGAGGCCCCATTTTGAGGATGGAAAGCCCGGAGCACCCCCAGCCCCCGCCCCGCGCCACCTGCTTCCGTGCTCCTGGTCCCACGAGATGCCTCCGAGCCGCTGGGTTTGTTATTCTCAGGTGGCCTCTTGTCACCGATCACTTTTATAGCTCGGCGGATGCTGATGGCAATTTACAACAGAATTACATAGAACGATAACCCATTTTCGGGGTCTGCTTTAAATGATGATCATCATTATTTTTATTTGCCAGGGCTCACTCTGCCAGTGAAAAATCTCCCATTAGGATGTAGTCAAATGCGCTCTCTCTCTCTCTCTCTCTCTCTCTCTCTGTCTCTGCAACGCAGATGTACCAAATCGTCGTCATCCAGACAGGGAGTTTTGACAGCAACAAAGCCGTGCTGGAAAGGCGCTATTCAGACTTTGAGATGCTCCAGAAAAACCTCCTCAAGACGTTCAGGGAAGAGATCGAAGACATCGCCTTCCCCAAGAAGCATCTGGTAGGCAACTTCACCGAGGAGATGATCTCCGAGCGCAAGCTGGCCTTCAAGGAGTACCTGACCTTGCTCTACGCTATCCGCTGCGTGCGGCGCTCCCGCGAGTTCATAGACTTCCTCACACGGCCCGAGCTCCGGGAGGCGTTCGGCTGCTTGCGCGGGGGACAGTACGGCCGGGCCCTGGACATCCTGGTGCGCGTGGTGCCCCTGCAGGAGAAGCTGACGGCCCACTGCCCGGTGATGATGGTGCCGGCGCTCTGCGCCATGCTCGTGTGCCACCGGGACCTGGAGCGCCCCGCCGAGGCCTTCGCGGCCGGGGAGAGGGCGCTGCAGTGCCTGCAGGCCCGGGAGGGCCACCGCTACTACGCCCCCCTGCTGGACGCCATGATCTGCCTGGCCTACGCGCTGGGCAAGGACTTTGTGTCGCTGCAGGAGAAGCTGCAGGAGAGCCAGCTCCGCCAGCCCAGCCCCTGGGGCTTCACTCTGAAGGAGCTCACGGTCCGGGAGTATCTGTACTGAGTCCCTCTGGCGGGTAGGCTGGAGACTGGGGATCGTGGCCATGGCGGGGTGGTGGGGAAGGGACACGGACTGTTGGGGGGGAGTGTTTAGTGGGAGGAGCCACTTGAGGCTTGAACTTGCTGGGTGACACTTTGGACAAGCCCCTCCTCTGGTCCTCCATGTCTGCATCCGAGGTGTGCTCCCCCCACCCCCCGGGGTCCTCAGAAGCCTCTGCCTGTGTCCTGTGTGCCTTTGATGTCAGACTCACCTCATCTGGAAACCACAAACCCAGCTGCGGAAGTGCTGGGGAGTGAGATCCAGCTTTTTGATGCTTTCGGGGGTCGCTGGAGGGGGTGGTTTGCATTGCACGCTGTGGACAAAGCTTAAGCCCCTTCCTCCAGACAGCTCTCACCAGCTGCCCTGTCTTCCCTTTCTGCTCCTCCTCCCTCGAGGTTGCCTGCCAAGATCCCCACCATGGTCCTAACCATTCCAGCTCTTCCTTCTTAGTGTGTAGACACAACTCGGCTAAACAAAAGCTCACCCACCGCTCTTCAAGGCCAGCTTTGTCCCTGGGATGGGGTGTATGTCGCCCTTTCAAGGGTGGGAGGACTCTGGGCTAGAACATCATCCTGTCACAAGAGTCTGTGAAACAAGGCGTTGGTAGGAAGGGAATTGGTCAACAATTCTCTGGTCACGATGCTGTAACTCGGAGTCCAGATGGGTTTTCATTTATAAAACATGTGGCCCTTGACGAGGCTCCATGAGTTACACAGACATGGCCCTGAGGGAGGGGAGTGATACCCAGCAGGGTGAGACTGAATGCTTAACACCTCCCGCATTTGAAGGACAATGTTCTTGGAACCTCTCCGATGGGCTGGAATGCCCTTGACTGAAGTCTGCTGTCAGGAAAGGACACCAGGAGCCCAGAGTGGAGGGGAGACCAGACCGATAACCTAGGTTCAACACTGGGCTTGAAGCCGGTGGTCCAGGCTGGTTTGGGGCAATATGTATTTGAGGCTGGAGGTCCCTGAAAACCTAAACCATCTGGCTGGGCTTATGAGAGTGAAATAAAGAGGCTGTTGCTCCGCATCTTCGTGTGAGGCACCAGCTTGACCCATGTAGGAATTGGACTGGACAAAGAGACCACTCTAGTAGTGAACAGGCATTGACCAAACTGCACCAAAATGGGTTCAACAGCGACACCATGTGGCAGAAGCTGGAATGGCCCTACCAGGCTCTGCTCTGCAGGCGAGAAACCAACCTGACACTTAGGGACAAAGAAAGCTTTGGGTCTCTCAGTTTATTCCGGGAGAAGGACACTTTGAATGGGAGATGTTGGACATCTTGAGAGAGAAGGTTAAAGTGCTCTGTGGAAAAATAAAAGGCTGTGGCTCTGTTTACAATGGTGAAGATCTTCCTGACTGTAAGTCATTTCATCAAATGTAAAACGCCATCCATCTCAGGTGCCCCACACAGTCGCTCAGAAGGAAAAAGTGCCCAACACGGGCAGTTTAATAGATGTGTGATATGCGTGTGTAGTATATAGAAAGAAGTTTTTAAAAAGCCTATAATATGGGGTAGAAGGAACCTACAAGGTCATAAGCTCCACCCGTCTTCTCTCCACCCAGGCTTCTTCCCATCCACGTGTCCCCAGACAGGACCCAGGGAGCTCCAGGTGGGAGCACCATGCCAGCCTCACCCACACCCAGGAACCCCACTCTGGGCACTCGTGCCCTAAGCCTGAGGGGGCTTGTTCCCATGAAGGTCTCCTGTAGGCTGGGGTCAGGTTACTTGGTGAGCCCCTGTGCCCGGGATGTGAGTCTCTTGCCTGACCCCAAGCCGGAATGGGAGGATGGGCACTGCCACAGGCCGCCTGTGCATGAAAACCCAGAGCTCCCCAGTGCTTTCAGAGCCCAGCTGTGTGTCCCAGGCTTTCCTCATCACTGCGGCGCAGCTCTGCTCAGGAGATATTCTTATCCCTTCTTACTGATGAAGACACAGACACCCTGACAGGTGAAGTAACATGCCCAAGGTCCCACGGTTCACAATGGGTAGAATAGGAAATTAAACTCGGGTCAGTGTGACACTGCCCCCCGTGCCTTTCCCACTGAGCCCGACTTTGGAGGGGAAAGGGGAGAGGAGGTACTAAGGCTATGTTCCTTGTCCTCTCATCCTTAAGGGCCCTTCAAGATCATTTCACTTATCTCTGTTTCTAGGTGGAAACAGGCCTGGAGAAGGAACTCCCTCAAGGTCACACAGGAGACAGGGAGAGCTCCAGCACCAGGTCTTCGATGTCCACATCCAAGTGACGTGGTCTGGCAGGCAGGACAGACAGAATAAGGGCTGGAATTCCAAGAGACCATTGGGGGTCACCCAGCCGGACCTGCGGGGGCTCCCGGAGTCTGGAGCCTTGGCCAGGGCCGGCTGGCCTGGAGGCTCAGTTCGGGGTGGGCTCTGGAAGTTCCTTTGGCTGTAACTCCGCCCCGTGCAGCAAACACAGTTGCAATCCCACCTGCTAGTGGGGGAGGGGTACTTGCTCAGAGGCTCTCCAGATGCTTCCTGTCCCTCCTGCAGCAACTCAGCCAAGCGCTTCGTTCCCAGCATCCTCCAGCTCAGCCACACGCCCCCTCCCCTTGGGGCGCCACAATGCTGCCACCTGTTCCATCATCCACTTGCCGTTTTCCTTCCAGCAGTCCCCCTTACGCTTATGGAAATTTCTTTGAAAACGAAACTTCCGATTACCACTCTAAATGGAAAATCAGAATCACTTGCTATAATTAGAAAGGTAGCTCTAAAAGTCTACACAATGAAACCTATTGCCCTTAGTACAACTCACAGGCCTTTGTCTGCGACGGGCCTTGAACACGAGGCTGCTAGAGGTTCTTTGTTAAAAGAAACAGAGAGACAGGTGTTAGGGACCCATCATCACCACGCTGAGACTTGTCTTTGATTTACTCAGAAGGACTGGAAAATACCGCAAGAGGAAACAAGTTTCTAACCATGTGGACTGGATTGTTGATTGTGGTCTGTGCATTCTCCCCTCCTATCTGGGTCTTGTTCCCTGCTGCTGGGCGTGGGGCCCTGGTCCCCCAACCCCCAGCCCTGTATTCAGCCCTTCTGGCTTTCCAGCTCCTCGGTCGTGGGCCTGGTTTTGACTTTGACTGACATCTTTGGCTGGATTGCTTTCTTTCTTTTTTCTTTTAAGATTTTATTTATTTATTTGACAGAGAGAGAGAGAACAAGCAGGGGGAGCAGCAGAGGGAGAGGGAGAAGCAGACTCCCCGCTGAGCAAGGAGCCCAATTCCGGACTCCATCTCAGGACTCTGAGATCATGACCTGAGCCTAAGGCAGATACGTAAGTGACTGAGCCACCCAGGTGCCCTGACATCCTCGGCCTTCAACACCTCACTTCGGAGGCAAAACCTACACTCCGGCTCCTGGCTTCGTAACCGATTTCAGGTCGGAGCCTCCCCCTCCAACTGGAAGGAAAATTCTAGTGAACTTATAGTATGTCCTCCGGTTGGTGTCACTGTGAGTGCCCCTTTTATGAACAAGAAAACACTGCTCCCCCACGGAGGACTTGCACAGAGCCCTACCCTCATGGTCTGCACCCAGAATAGTCTCTTGGTCCTTATCCATCTCTCCATGAATATTCTCATTTTCTCAGTAAACGGTGACTGACGACACTCTTATTATTTTGCTAGATTCTGCCAAGAGCTGGGGACACAGTGGTGAATGGCACAGCCCCAGGGCTGACCTCATCAAGGTTAGAAAGGAGTCATTCACCGAGCAAACAGAAGCTGAGACAGAATCTCCCTCAGCCAGGTAGTCAGGGAAGCCTTCTCAGAGGAGAAGGTGTTTAAGGGAGCCACAGGGAAGGCTAAGGAGGCGGCCACTGCAGCACGGGGAGGGGAGAATTTTAGGCAGAGGGAAAACAGAAGCACCCCCAAGGCAGGAGACCCCTCTGTCCCTGGGGACCCTTAGTGGAGGTCCGAGCCAGAAAGGGGGCAGGCCCAGGATGCCTCTTCCCTGATGTGCCACGCAGGCAGTACTCACTGCAAGGAAGGGTCCCAAGTGTTGCCAGATATGCCTGGCAAGCCACATTGTGCCATCATCCATCTCCAGTGACTGGCTCATTGCAAAGTGAGCAAGCTGGGAGCTTGTGTTTAGGGAGCACAGACCCTTTTGGTTACAAGCAACAGAAACCCAGGGGAGGAATTTATTATGGGAAAAGTCTAGGAATAGACGAGCTTCAAGCCAAGTTGGATCCGAAGAATCAAACCCTGTCATCTGGTCTCTAACTTTCACTTTCTGGCTTTCTCTGTTCTGCTTCCCTGCTTTGCCTCTTTCTCTCGACAAGCTCTCCTCCTGGTGACAAGATGGCTCTAGCAACACCAGGCTCCTAGGCTCCCTCCTGGGCAACCCCAATCGCTCCCCCTCAAGGGACTTGTGAAGCCCCTCGTCTGCAGGATATATACCGAACACCCCCGTGTCCTTTCCTGAGGGGCCCGGCCGGGCAGATCCTGTCCCCAAAGTGCGGCCACCACAGTTAACTTGCCCAGCCTTCAACAGAAAGAAGTCTCAACATATCGTTTTGTAAGCCGCTTTTCAAATTTTAAAATAGACTTTGTGATTGTTGTTGGTTTTTTTAGAACAGTTTTCAGTTCACAGAAAAAATTGAGTGGAGGGTATAGAGCTTTCCCTCATAGCTCCTGTCCCCACACAAGCATGATCACATGCTTCACCAGCATGAAACATTTGTCACAACTGATGAACCTGCATGGACACGTCATTATCACCCAGTGTCCATAGTTTCCATGAGGGCTCACTCTTGGTGTTTCGCTTACCCCCGCTGACATGTATCCACCATGATAGTATCATAACGTGGACAATAAAATTAAAGTATGATTCGAGTTTGATTAAATTTTATCTATCATGAGCACTTTCCTATAATATATGACAATTTTCATATTATTTTTAATTTATTTTAACCATCTTATAATGTAATTTTCCTCATTACAGGCAACACTGCAGCAAACGCCTGGAGATCCAGTGTAGGTTTTTGCTCACTGTTGTTGTACTGAAGGTTATTGAAAGGTTCTTTTTCCCCCTTTGTGTCCGGGCACTTCTGGAAGGAGGCGGGACGGAGGCCGGATCTCACCCCGCAATTTAAGAAGCGGCCGGCAGATGGCGCCGCCACACTGGCGGCTCCTGGAGCTTCCGCGCAACGCTGGAGAAGAGGGGGAAAAAAAGCGGAGGGAAATTGAGCATTTCTCCAAAAAGAAAAAAAAAAAAAAAAAGACTTTGAAAAACCGTTCGAAGGGGTTTGAAATAATACGAAGAAGAAAGTTTCGCTGGGAAGGCGCTGACGTTTCGCTGCCTCCTTTTCTGCCACCCGTCTCCCTCCCTCGCTTCCCCACCAGTGTTGGTTGGGGGTCCCCAGGCGACCCTCACTTGGGGTTCAGGACCTCACTTCCCTTTTCTGCTCCGGGGTCCTCTTCCCGCAGCACACAGACCCCAAGGGGCGGAAGGAGGCCCCCTTGTGGTCGCTCCCCCCACCTCCAGGGGCTCTCAGAAGGAAGTGAACGAAACCGCAACTGCTAACAAAATAAGGTCCCTAAAAATATAGGGTGGCCTGCCCTTGCGGTGGGACATTTAACCTGCTGGCTCCTGGGGGCGGGGCTGGAGTAAGCTTCCGTCTGTACAGCGGCAGGGCCCTTTCCCAGGTATGGGGGAGGGGCGTAGGCACCCTCAGAAGCCCCACCACAAGGCTTCCCAGGAGGGAGGGTTGGGGTGCAACCTCCGACCTTCTTCGGCCGGGGCTGGCGCTGAGGAGTTCTCATGCATCTGCGTACTGAATCGGGGGATAATAACCACACACTTTGACTTCTTTTCACCATGAATTAACCTACCCAGGCCACCTCCAGAGGCTGTTGGTAACCAGTGGCCTGGATGGATAGGGGAATGGAAGGAGGGAAGAGAGAGAGAGAGTGGGAGGAGAAAGAAAAAAATCCACCTTGCTTGTTTGAGTGGCAATGGGTACAAGCACTAGGAAAACCATCTGCTGAAGCTGAGCATAAGTTCTTACAGAGGACCCATCCTGTGCCCTCTTAGGAGCATGTCCTACAGATAGAGAGGCAAGCATGTTCACCAGAAGACACGAACCAGAATTTCTGAGCAGGACTACTCCCCAGGGTATCCCCCATCTAGAAACAACCCAAATGTCCATCAACAGTGAGACCGTTCCGTAGATGGGGGTATTGACATTCATATTTGTAAGTTGGAATATTATATAGCCATGAAAACAAACTACCACAATACACCATCTACACATCTACAGTCGAAGCTCACAAGCAAGGCCAAGTGTGAGCAGTCGGACACGAGAGAATAAAGCCTGTGGGACGCCACTG